GAGGAGAGGAAAGGAAAGGAAAGGAAAGGAAAGGAAAGGAAAGGAATGGAATGGAATGGAAAGGAATGGAAGAGGAAGAGGAAGAGGAAAAAGAAATGGAAAAGAAAGAAAGGGATTGGAGCAGACAGAGGTGGAAAGGAGTAGGAAGGAAAAAGAGAGGAAAGGAAAAGAAAAGGAGAGAAAGCAAAAGAATAAGAGGAAAGGAGGAACAAGAAGGAAAGAAACGAGAGGAAGAAAAGAAAATGGAAAGGTTTGGAAGAAGGAAAGGCGCAGTAGAAGAGTAAGCAGAGAGGAAAGGAAAAGGATGAAAAGGAAGCAGAAGAGGAAAACGAAAAGTAAATGAAGAGAAAAAGGGAGAAACAGAGAAAAGAGAATGGAAAGGATTGGAAAAGAAAAGGAAAAACAGTTCCCATAGCCCTGCATCCGTTTCATGTTTCTGTATGATAATCATAGGGTGACTTTTCCAGTAAAAGTCTGATATCATTCTCTGTTTCTACTCAATTATTGTGTGATTAAAACAAAACCTGACAAGAAAAAACAAACAGCAAAATACTGTACAGCTCTGAAAACATGACCTTGCCTGTTTAAATTAACTACAGCTATGTACAGTTGGACAAACACTTGGGTTCACAAAGGCCCATTTGCATCAAGTCAAAAAGCACTGCAAGATATCAAAACAAATCAATGCATCTGAAGATGAAATTAAACATAACAGGAGTAAGACCGTCTATGCACTCTACACACTCTTGGTTAAAAATTCTGAATCAAACAGTATGAATTTTCACTAAAGACAATAGTTTTATCATTTTATACTTCCATATTGTTTTGTTACACTGGATTTTTGGGGCATATATTTACACTGAAACGTCAGCAATTGAAACTAGGTTCACTCACTGAATATATTCAAACCTAAACAAATAGAATGAATTATTTATGTTTTAGATAACCAGAACATGCACCTCTGTCCTTATCTCTGCCTCTGTAGGGTAATATTCACCAGGACATGCAATTCAATCATGCTTTTTTTTTTTTTTTTACAGTCTCCTTCATCGACGACCCATCAGACTCAGGACATCCAGAGGACATAACGCCTGAAATAGGAAAGCTTGGAGAGCTGGGTGGTATGGCACTATACACATTACATGTGTAACAATAAAAATGTTTATATTACAGTACAATTTTATATAGTTATAGGTGGGCAAGGCTACTTTGCTATTTACCCATGAGAAGAAATGCCAATGCGCAAGGATGAACTTCTTATTTACTTATGAATAATCTTATATTTTGGTTTCCATCCATTAATTTTCAAAAATAGCAACTAAATAAAATAAAGTAAATTAATTGAAATAAAACAATTTATTAAAAATAAAAAAAATTTTTTTAAGTATTTAATTCGCTGGAAAATCCAATGATGATGATGATGATGATAATATTTAATTAGGCAAAGTATAAAACCATTTTCCCATTGGAATACCAAGAAAAATGACTACAAGTTTGTTTGTATCAGTTTGGTTAGTCACACTTGCAGTTAGCGCTAATGATCATGGAAATGATTTTGTGCTGTCAGTTTTCTGGCAAGATACAGCAGAGCAAACTATTTTTTTCTATTAAAACCATGAGTAACAGATTTTTAAAGGTCATCACAGTTTAAATAAAGCAAATAATAAGCTTCAGTTAAGAAACCCACCATGTTTACACATTTATCTTTCACAAACAAAGAAGGGCAAGGGCATTCAACAACAAAACCAAAGAAAACCTTACAGCATCTGGAAAGATTTTGGTATTTCGAATCGCTGGTGAACGCTGGGTCATGTGGAGTAAATCAGAACAGCTCAGTCTGAATGACCACAAGGCCAAAGCAAACACAAAAAAAACACTGAGATTTGGTGGGAAAAGGAAAGAGTTTATTCCATTCCACCATACTCATCTAAACCACCTGCATCTGGTCAAGAAACATGTCCAAAGATCTGGCAACCAGCTGACGCTCACTATCCACTGTTCCTCATTATCCACTACTGAATCCAACATAACATAAAAAACAACAAACACATCCATGTTACAAGAGCGTGTGGGCATGATAAGTTACAATGACTTGAAATCAGCAGGGAATTACACTATAACGGAAATGAGAACTACAAAATAGAGAACATTAAAAAAAAGAGCTATAAGCTCAAAGAATAATGAAGAAGTCTGTCCTAAAGAATATATATCAATAGTTCAGAGGAGTTAGCCTAATCTGCCTTTTAGCAGCCACAGCAGGAGACGCCAAAGAAATTAAATATCGATCAAATGACACACTGGCTTCCTTGGAATAAAAGAGAAGACAACGATGGGCAGAATGTGTGTTCAGGTCTTTTAATGCAGTTTTAGCTGTTTTGAGAATGTAGTTGTGGTGGCTTAATGGGAGAGTTGAACCAAATACAAAAATTGTATCATCATTTGTGTGCTATATACACAGACTTTAGGCAAATTAGTGTTAGAACGCAATTTAAGGCTGGGCGATATAGCTAAAAAAATGTATAAACGAAATAATGTTTCATATCGTTCGGTTTTGATAATTATTGACATTTTTAGAACCTTTTTTAAAACAAAGAGCAATAGAAAAACATGTTTAAATTTAACCACTGTATTTTTTAATTAACCCAATTTATTGAGACAAACAACAAATATATTTTGTTTTAACAGTCAAACACACAATAAAAAATGTAACAAATATCTAATTTATAATGTTTTATATGCAGATTAAATAGGTCTTAAGGAAACTTTTGGCTTGTCTGCCGAGGCAACAGGAGGGCGCAATGAGCAAAATAATGCAGCGCATTAAATTGTCAATGCAAGGAAGTATAAAAAAACGTGCATTACGTCTAAATTAACTCATATAAATCAAATATAATTTCGTAAATTACATAAACAATTATGAACAAAACAGCATCATGTATTTATGCATTGCTTAATACAAAGAGCCGAATCGCCCATCGCGAAGATTGCATTTAAAAACACACGAGACGCAGTGAAAAGGAAAAAACCTCCACAAATTCGCGACGTGTTTTCTAAAAGTTTAAACTGTTTTAACTTTGCATGGCTACATTGTGTGAGACGCGAGTGCAGCAGTCATATTTGTCCGTCTAAAAAATGCGCTGAATATGCGTTTTGTGTGAATGGCTTGGTTTCGGTTTTCGCCTAATCAAGATCTTCTCTGCATTGAGCCTCTATATTTCTCTAATATTTTGAATGCATAACACAGCAGCGGCGCGTCTCGTGGGCTAGACTAACAAAACATTAAAATGCAACAACTTCACTTACATCATTATCACCGCATCTCGCACGCCACTGATGACGCTCCCTCGCATTCCTAACATGCAAATGTTAATTTTAAATTTGACTAATATAAATTTTTTTTTATTTACAATCTCCATCACAGGCAGGCACAGCACTCAATTCAGCATGTGTTCGTGTTTGTGTGTGCTGTCTGTGTCACACATAGCACGTGCCTATATCGTGTGCTACATCGAACATTTTTTCTATCGATATCGAAGAAGGTGTACCGTCGATAAATATCGATACCGTTTTATTCTGCCTAATATCTGTATATAATGAATCATGACATGTTTATTTAAAGATTTTCTGATTAAGTTCAAAAGTTTATTTGAGTGTAAAAAAATGCGTATGTGTGTCTCTATATAAATGTAATTACTACTGGTTGTATATGAAATGTACATTCTCTCATCATTCTCTCTTTCTGTAGTAGTCAACAAGTAGTAATTGCATTACATTAATTGCTGTGCTTTGACAAGAAAACATTGCTTCTAGCGCAATTCCATAAAAGCGCTGATGGGAGGGGGAAATTCTGCGGGAGATTTACTAACAATGCGCACATTAAAGAACACAGACGCAACATCTCATTTCAATAATAACCAGCGCAAACTACCACCTGCTTCAAGACATGCAAGCTGAATTGCGGACATTATTCAAGTCTTCAGCGTCACATGATCCTTCAGAAATATGATTATTTGCTGGTCAAGAAACTGCTGGTCTTATTATTATCAATGTTGAAAACGGTTGTGCTGCCTAATATCTGTATATAATGAATCATGACATGTTTATTTCAAGATTTTCTGATTAAGTTCAAAAGTTTATTTGAGTGTAAAAAATGTGTATGTGTGTCTCTATATAAATGTAATTACTACTGGTTGTATATGAAATGTACATTCTCTCTTTCTGTAGTAGTCAACAAGTAGTAATTGCATTACATTAATTGCTGTGCTTTGACAAGAAAACATTGCTAAACATGATGTAAGTGGCTGTTAAGATGTGGCTCATGTAACATATACCTTGAGAAAAGCAGCATCACAGTTCTTTTTACAATAAAGAAGCACTGTAAAAAATCCAATTAACAAAATGTTGGAAGGGCAAAAATATTTAAGTTGAGCTAATTTTATTGCTTGGGCTTAGTTGAGAGGACATATTATATTAAGTCTACACAAATATATTAGAAAAACATTGAATGAACGGTTATTTTCAAA